TCAGCCTTCGGGGGCTCCGTGTTTTTGACTGGGGGTCCCAGCCACTTCTATACGGACTGCCTGAATGTGCACAAGCAGTACCATGCTCCACGTTATGATAACAAGATCAGCTATAAACTCGTTTATAGCGGTATGATGATGCAGGCTCTGTCGCACGCTTCGTTGATTTCGAGTCTCACCAAGGTGAAGGCTCACCAGAGTTTCGAGTTGGATTTGCCTCCGCTGGAGGCCTTTTACCGCTTGGGCAACCACGGGGCCGACCAGGCGGCCAAGAGAGGTGCTCTCCAGCACCCTGCTGCTGCGCCCGAGTTTCAAGAGGCTGTGAGTCGTAGTGTTTCGTTTGCCAAAGCGGTAGCTAAGCTGTCTGCTCACCTTCTGCCGCTCTGGCCTCGCCTTGACCTCAAGGGGGTCCAGCTTATCGTCCCGCCGCGTCCTGCCGTGGAGGCCCGTTCGGGCCATTCCTGGGTGCGGGTAGGGGACCTTTGGCAATGTACTCAGTGCCTCCGTGGGAGGCGCACTGCGGCGGTGCCGATTCCAGGAATCTGTTCCCATCACTCGCGTGTGCAAGTCGCTCAGTTGGCCTCGCTCGGCCACCGGTGCTGGGTGGTTGATTGTAGCGACGACTCCTTTGTCTGTTTTTGCCAGACGTGAAAGTGCTACACTTCTGGTTTAAGGCTCGCCAAACTTGCGAGCCGCTGTTATGGCCCTCCTGCCAATAAGGATGGCACTCCCAGGACACCAGATTCCTGGGCTCGCATGCTTCGTGGCCTTCATCCTAAGCGGTCACGGGTGGCAATTTTGTCTAGCACGATGGCTGCGCTCTGTTCGTAACATCGGGGGGGATGGTTGGGCCAACCCTCGTTGGGCTGATGGTCCCCCCTGCGCGTGCGGAAGCCGTGTGGCCTCGCCGCTGACAGTGTCGCCGCTCTCTGCCCCAGGCTTTCGCTCTGCGACTCTGGTGCAGGAGCCTCTGCGCCTCGGCCTGACTCAGTGCAGGATGGTGATGGCGTCTCCAGCGGCGCATGTTAAAAAAATTATCCTCTTCCTCCTCCTCCTCCTCTTTCTCCTCCTCCTCCTCCTCCTCCTTCTCCTCCTCCTGCCCAGCCCCGATGACCTGCCCTCCTCCTCCTCCCCCTCCCCCCTCCTCGTCCACCATGTCGGCCCCGATGTAGTGTATCGTAACCCCCCCGCGGCGGATCCAGGCCGTTTACGAGTAGTTACTTTGCGGGTCGTGAAACTCGCTTGTCTACCAAAACCATTGACAAACCCATGGGGGGTCAATGATTGTGGCCTCCTCGGGGCCCTCGTGGGAAGGCTATTAGGGCTCCCTTGAGGCCCCGCTCGCCCCAGCTCCCCTCCTTCTTGTTCTCTTTCCCGTCCCCGTCGTTCTCCTACTGCTCCCCTCCTCCGTCTGCAATCTTTGGACCAACCTAATACTGGGCCCTGCTACCGTCTGGTCTCGGGACGTCGCTGCTGGCTTGCCCCCTGCTGACTGCTGTCCGCCACGGTGCCCCGTTGCGCCGCTGTTTCTACCACGGCGGCGACGACCACACGACGACGACAACGACGACGAAGACGACGACGACGACGGCGGCGACGACGACGACGAACACTACCACTGACGCGAGCACGACGGCGGCGGCGACAACGGCGGCGGCGGCGGCATCTCTGTCATGCCATCCCTCGCCCACGGACCCGTGGCGGTCCAGCAACAGTCTTGGCGTCGTCCGCCAGTTGGGGAAGGGGCGTTCCTCAGAGGGAGCCGCGTACGCCCAGAGGGCAGCTGGGACGCAGAGGCGTCCCATTTGCGTTACCCCGAAAGAAGAGACAACTGACTGCGGAGAACTGTTCGGATGTCCGCGCGGACTTCTCCGACCGACGCCGCACTCCCCCCTTTCCGTGCGCAGAGCGCGACAGGGGCAGCACCGCAGGCGCCGTCTTGTGGGTGCAGCGCCGTGCCCCCTCCGCTGATGGGCAGTCGGTGCGGGGGGAACGCTGTCTGCTCAAGAGCGCCACGTCAGGGCTTGCCCGAGGCGTCCACTTCTCAATCACGAGCGCCCGGGGTATCGATCTTCGGGAACCTCGGCAGGCGGTGGCTGTGGATGTGTGTGTGTCAGGCCCCGAGAGGGCCGAGCGTGTCCATGTCCACCGCCCGCGGAGGTCCCGGCAGGTCGATCCCCGAGGCGGTGGTGGTGCGGAAGTGCCCGCCTCGCAGCGCTCCGCCCTGCCATGGCGGGGCCGCCGGGGTGCGGGCAGCGGCGGGCGGCATGGGCCCTGACGGGCCTCGGCCTGGCGGTGGAGCTGCTGGTGCTGGCCGCCGTGTGGGGCCTCTGGCTGCTCTGGGGCGCCGCTCCGCTGCTCGGCCAGCGCGACTTCGGCAGCCCCGTGGGGTGGCTCGCGGCCTTCGGCGCGGCGTGCGTCTTCGGCTTCACCGAGGTGCCCGTCAAGGTCCGAGGAGGAGCATTCGAGGCGGGGGTCTATCCAGAACCACCGCCTGGGGGATCGACCTTCCTGGACCTCGGCGGGCGGTGGCTAATTATGGATATACCCGGCTTTTTCAGGCTCCGAATATGTCGATGCCCGCTGCCTGCCGAGGTTCCCGAAGGTCGATCCCCCAGGCGGTGGTGATGGAGATAGATCGCCGCCGCGCAGAACGCTCTGCGCAAACACCCGCTCTGGAAGGTCAGCGCTGAGTTCTTGGACTGGCGCCGGACCCCCCTGGCGGCGCCGCCGGGCGGCGCCTCCGGCGGCGGCGCAGCCCGCGCTCCCGTCGTGGGGGTGAGGCTCGGCGCAGATGAGAGAACTCCGCGCGGGCCTCCGAACAATTCTTGACGCTCCGCGTCACACCCAGGTTTTCTTCCCCCCCCCGGCTCCTCTTGCTGCCCCGGCGCTGAGGCTTTGGCGGTAGGTCTTGCTCTGCTCCGCTTGCCAGGTAATTAGGCCCCCGCGCGGCCCGCTCGGACCTTACTCGCCGTTGGCGCACCCGCCTTCGGCTGCTAGAAAAAACACACATCCAGGCACGATCGTAGGCTTTCTTGGGGCCCCTCGGAGGCCACCTTGAGCCATGTTCGGCCAGAGGCTGTCGGAGGTTATCCTGAGGTTTAGGGGCTCTCCGGGTGCCCCCTGTGGGGCCTCCTTGGCCACTCCGCGCGGGCCTCCGAACAATTTTCTGTGTGTGCAGATTGCGCGTCTTCTGAAGCTGGAGCTGGCTGGGGGTCTGATGTGGCCTGGTTCAGCAGTGGTTCTGGCCAGTAACAGGAGCTGTCCCTGGTGGCCGTTTTCGGGCCCCGGGGCTGTCAGAAACGGTTCTGGGGTGATACATTGCACCAGATGGACACCAGAACAGGGTCCAGACGGCGATTTTGATTGGTCTTGGCCTCATCCCCCCCTCTTGACCGATTTTCTCGGGGTCCATCCAGCTTACTCACCCCGGCCGCCTCCAAGTCTTCAAGGTGCCGGAAGCACAGGCACTGGGGCCGATCCTCTTCAACGCGTACGGCTTCCTCGGCAACGGCGCGGTGCACGCGGCAATCGCCCTGTCGCTGCGCCAGCTGGGCGGCGAGCCGATGGAGTGGCAGTGGTCCGGGGCCATGGCCGCGCTCGACATCATGGCGGTGCAGATCCTGGCGCGGAACGCGGTTTGGCTCCTGGGAATCCTGAGGAGCAACAGGCGTACAGAAGTATAAACGTTCGGAGGTGCGCGCGGAGTTTCTGGATCGGCGCTGGACCCCCCTCTCTCTGGCGCGCTGGACCCCACCGCAGGGGCGACGCCAGAGGCGCCGCGAGGGGGGCCCCAGCGCCGATCGAAGAACTCCGTGCGGACCTCCGATGGTTCATGCTGCTGCCTCTCTGTTTGGTCTTCGGCACTCGCGGTCGGTCCGCCCTGCTGGGTCGCCATCGGCATGTCCACGTCCTTCGCCTGGGGCATCCTGGCGTTCGGCGACAGGCCGGGCCGTCTGGGGCCGAGCCTTCTCGGGCTGTCGCTGCTGGTCGTGGGCGTGTCGCTGGTCGGCCTGGCGAGCTCCCTCTCGCGGGCCAGCCGGACGCGCGAGCGCTGTGCCACCTCCGAGCCCGCGCCGGGCATCGCGGAGGTGCGGTGGAGGAAGAGGTATACCTCCCTCGTGTTCGCCTCTCGGGGGCCTCCTGGGAGGCCCTCGTCGCCTCGGTAGCAGTAGCGGTACTTTGAGGTCTCTCCAGAGGTGGTCGGGTCTCCTTCCGCCGTCGAGGTCGCGGCTCCCGTGGAGGGCGCGCCGCTGAAGCCAGACCAGCTGGACCCCCAGGGCTCCGAGCCCGCCGGCGTGCCTGGCGCGGTGGCCTCCCCGCTCGCCGCGCAGGCCGCCGGCTTCGCGTACGCGCTGGGGGCCGGGCTCGCGGACGGCTCGTTGACTGCGTTCTACCAGCGCCTGGAGGCCGCGCGGCGTCCGCGGGCCACGCTGCCGATGTCGTGGCCCCTGTCTCTCTGGGCCCAGGACCTGCGTGCGCGCCTCGCCCCCCTTGGCTGGCCAGAGCCCAGACGGGGGGCGCATGCACCGATCCTGGGCCTGGGGAGGGGCTGCGGCCGCGGCGTCGGCGAAGCGGTCAGCAGCCCCCGACGAGATCCGACGCTGCGGGAAAAACAGTATGCGACGCCGCTGCAAACCCCCCCCCGGAGCCCTGCAGACCCCCCGCTTCCCCTGGCATCTGCCCAGCCGCCTCCGTCTGCGATGGCCCCCGGGCCCGAAGCCGGGCGACAACGCCCGGCGTGGCAGACATTGCAGCAGGCCCGGGTCCCAGGGTTTGGCTTTATGTCGGGCGTGTCCCCCATACAGGGGGATTTTCGACGAAAAAAATGAACAGCACCCCCAACATAGTCAAAACATAGTAGAAACATAGTCTGGGGACCATTGTTTGAGTCTTTGTTGATATTTTTAGTGTATTTTGGGGTATTTTTTGCATTTTCGTCGAAAATCCCCCTGCAGGGGGACAGGCCCGACACAAGTTTGGCCTCGCCCGCGGCGCAGGGCTCCTCGGTGCCCCGGCGAGGCGCCGGGGGCGCCCCCGTGGCGGCAGTGGCGGTGCTGGCCGACTACTTCGGCAGCCGAGGGGAGAAAGATGGTCGGGGGTGGACAGACCTCCTACCCTCGACACCCACCAAACCACCCCAACCCAACCCGAAGGCTCAGATTTACCCTCGATTTCTAGTGGGGGGGGGTCCGGGAACATCGAAAAAACACATATGGAGCCCATACCCCCCCAACCCGAAATTCGGGTCTTCGGGTTAGGTTGGGGTGGTCTGGTAGGTAGTCGTACCCTGACACGTCGATTAGTGAATTCGCCGTTTTCGGTTCGCGAGAGGGCTCCGCGGCCGTCATGTTTGCGGGTCCAGGTCCGTCGGTTTCGGTCCCGGGCCGTTTTCATTAGGGGGAGGTTTAGTACACACCGCCGATGAGGGGGCCACGACGAAGATATCGCGGGATCTTGTCGATGCCGATCTTGGTCATGGCCCATGTCGCGCCCGTCGCCGATCCGCGAGGAGGATCCCCGAATTGACGCTGACCAATATCGGTGGTGTCCAAGGTCGACACGGCGTTTCCTCATTCAGTCTTGGTCATGGTCCCGCATTCGAGCAGTCGACCAGTGGCCACTCCGGTCCGATTTGACCGCCCGCGTATTCAAGCACGCTCGCATGCGACTGCGCGGTCCGACTCGACTGCCCGCCGACCGAAATCGACACGACGTTTCCGCATTCGGTCCGCAGACATGCGACGTCCTGATATGTGCACCACGAGTTCCCTGGAAGTCCCGACCCCTTCCCCGGGACCGGTTCTTCATCCCGAGTCGCTTCTCGACGGTCCAGAGGCCCGGCCGGGGGCCTGGGAGGCCGACAGCGCCGAGACACCTCCCGAGCCTGTCGGGGTCTTGGTCGCCAGGCCCCGCCCGCTCCCCCTCCAGGCAGCTTCGGCGTCAGCATGCTGGTCGCCGGCCTCGCGGCGTGCGCCTGCGCGCGGGCGGCGGGGCGCGGGGCGCCCTCGGCGGGGGTGCTGCCGGCAGCGGCGTCCGGGGCCATGTGGGCGGGGGCGATGGGGCGACAGCAAGTACGCACATACAGTGAGCGCATTGCCGCCCAAGAGATGGTTGCTTTGCAGTGAGCTCATTGCCGCCCAAGCAGGCAGTTTCTAGGAACAGGTTGCTGCTTGCAGTGACATGGTTGCACTCAATGAGCTCATTGCCCCAATAATGTTACTTTCAGTGAGCCCATTGCCGCCCTACCGATCCTGGCGTTGCATTTTTTTCCCAACGGGCGTGTTCGACAGGGTTTGGGCCCCCGGGCCCTCAGACATCGATCCGGCTTGAAAAATGCTGCATCAAGGTGGGGTCAAAGTCTCTGGTCGTGATGGTTCGCAATGTGGCGAGTTTTCTGCAACGTCAGATTTGAGGGTGCACAGTGATCCTGGCCGGGACCATCCTGGGCAAAAGATCTGTGCACCTGTCCCCCTGGCCGAGCCAGGACGGCATGTGCACCGCTGCTGGACCCGGGATGATCCAGGCCTTGGTCGGTGCACACGCGTGCTTCTCTTTCCTCTTAGGCGAACTCCTGCAGCGTGCTGGCCTCGCACCTGCTGGGCAATCCCGGGCTGCATTCGAAGATCGGAGGAGCAGGAGGGGTCACGAGAAGGATGCGTTCCAAGAGGCGCTCCAGAAACGACGTTCGCTGGATGCTCCAGAGTTCCTGGCGCGCTGCCTGCGCCAGTCGCATAGCAGCATCATTCGCGCCCCAGGGGAGCAGGCATCGGCACAACCACAACCTCTCGAAGGTCCGAGCGGATTTCATGGATCTGCGTCGGACACCCCCCGGCGCGCTCCGCGTCGTGCCAGGGAGCGGCGTGCTCCGCGCCGATCCCAGGAATCCGTGAGGACCTCCGACGGGTACTGCTTCTGCCGTCGTCTCCTTGACAACCAAAAGGCGCCCGAGTAAGGACCGCCCTGCGGAAAAGTCACGACGGGAGGTTTGCCGTCAGCGATTCTCGGCCTCCGGGGGCCCTCGCCGGGCCTCGGGATTGTCAAACCAGGACTCAGGGTGGAACACCGGTCCCGGGGAAGGGTCCACAACAAATCACGACGTCGGGGTCTGGCCCCCCCCCCCCTGGCATCTGTGGAAGAACAAGGAGCGCCGCCAGTGGGAGCCGAGCGCGGGTCCAGGAAGTCCGTGCGGACCTCCGAGGGTTGATGCTCATGCCGTCTTGTGCTCAAGGGAGGACAAAGCGCCCGCAGCACCCACAACTGGCGTTCACTAGAACCTCCTGGGCGTTTGCAAAGCAAGCCTGCCCTGCTCGATGCCTTCTCAGGTGCGTTGAGACGGACGTCGCTTGTAAGGGCGCTTAATGCGGAGGTTGGTTACCCCAGACTGTACAATACGCACCCTCCCCATGCCGCTCGCTCCACGGCCCGCTCCCGCCCACCCCCCCACGCGCCGAACCCATCTCACGGGATCCATCCCTCCCACGCCCAGCGCGGGACAGTCCGATTCCAGGCCCCCCACGCGATGCCCCTCCTCCGCGCTCTCAGGGGCGGCTACGCGTAACCGTGGCCCTTCGCAGGAGTGACTCGAGAAGCTCTATAGGTGCGCGGCCTTCGGGGGGCGCGGGGGGACCCATCTCGACCACGTGGGCCGCAGGCGTCGCAGCGCGCGCAGTGAGCGGCAGGCCGCGCACCACAGGGGACTCGTGCCTGGTGCCGCTCTTGCGTGTAGCCCCACGGACAGACTCGGAGTGCCTTTCGGCCTGATATATATATATATATATATATGTATATATATGTATATATGTATATATGTATATATATATATATATATATGCGCAGTGCCGGTTTTAATACATGCTCCGCCTGCGGATCATGGATTAAAGATGTAGAGATGTAGTATTAATTAGCCTGGCGAAGGACCCAACCATATGCTGTTGTGAAAATACTGCAATTGTGAATGCCATCTTGGCCCGCGCTCCCTATGTGGCCACGGCTTTCCGCCGGAGCCCGACATGCTCAAGGACACGTTCGTGGCCGTCTTCGCGGGCGCCGACGACGACAAAGACGGCGTCCCTCTCACCGAGGAGCAGAAGCAGGAGACGTCGACAAGGCGGAGTACGACGCCCAGGCGCGGTTGCTGAAGCAGCACAGCTATGGGGCCACGATCCTCGTGAGGGATGTGCCGCAATGGCCCGGGGCCGCCATTCGAACCCTGCCACTGGCGCCTTCGGTGGAGCTCCCTAGGGGGCCACGGTCCTCGTGAGGGGTGTGTCGAAATAGCCCGAGGCCGCCTTGCGAACCCTGCCACTGGGGCCTTCGGTGGAGCTCCTTATAGGGTCACGATCCTCGTGAGGGGTGTGCCGAAATGGCCCGAGGCCGCCGTGCGAACGCAGCCACTGGGGCCTTCGGTGGAGCTCCCTATGGGGCCACGATCCTCGTGAGGGGTGTGCCGAAATGGACCGAGGCCGCCATGCGAACGCAGCCACTGGGGCCTTCGGTGGAGCTCCCCATGGGGCGACGATCCTCGTGAGGGGTGCCAAAATGGCCCGAGGCCGCCGTGCGAACGCAGCCACCGGGCGCCTTCGGTAGAGCTTTCTATGGGGCCACGATGCCTGTGGGGAGTGTGCCGAGATGGCCCGAGGCCGCCGTGCGAACGCAGCCACTGGGGCCTTCGGTGGAGCTCCCTATGGGGCCACGATCCTCGTGAAGGGGTGTGCCGAAATGGCCCGAGCCACGCGAACGCAGCCACTGGGGGCCTTCGGTGGAGCTCCCTATGGGGCCACGATCCTCGAGAGGGGTGTGCCGAAATGGCCCGAGGCCGCCATGCGAACGCAGCCACTGGGGGCCTTCGGTGGAGCTCCCTATGGGGCCACGATCCTCGAGAGGGGTGTGCCGAAATGGCCCGAGGCCGCCATGCGAACGTAGCCACTGGGGTCTTCGGTGGAACTCCCTATGTGGCCACGATCCTCGTGAGGGGTGTGCCGAAATGGCCCGAGGCCGCCATGCGAACGCAGCCGCTGGGGGCCTTCGGTGGAGCTCCCTATGGGGCCACGATCCTCGTGAGGGGTGTGCCGAGATGGCCCGAGGCCGCCATGCGAACGCAGCCACTGGGGGCCTTCGGTGGAGCTCCCTATGGGGCCACGATCCTCGAGAGGGGTGTGCCGAAATGGCCCGAGGCCGCCACGCGAACGCAGCCACTGGGGGCCTCGGTGGAGCTCCCTATGGGGCCACGATCCTCGTGAGGGGTGTGCCGAAATGGCCCGAAGCCGCCATGCGAACGCAGCCACTGGGGGGCCTTCGGTGGAGCTCCCTATGGGGCCACGAAGCGCTGCACTGGGTGGGTGAAACGCAAGGAAGAGGGGTAGGAGGGAGGAGGAGGGGGAGGAGGAGGAGAGAATGAGAGGAGACGCGGGCCACCGTCTCTTCAAAACGAGGACCCAACACCACAGGATGGTTGGGAAAAACAGCGATTAGTTCACGCATACATTTATTCATAAATTTACCATGTATAACAAATCCTATATGTTGAAAAATCCAATGTGTTCAAAACTGCCCCGTATCTGCTCCTCTCAGGCATGGCCCTCTCCTTCCCCCTGACCCAGACCGCGGTCGTCGTCAGCGGTCTGCTCGGCGTGTTGGTCTTCCACGAGCTGGCCGGCCGGCCCGCGCGCTGCGCCCTCTGCCTGGCGCTGGCGGTGATCGCCGCCGGCGCGTGCCTGCTGTCCGCCTTCGGGAGGCCAGCCTGAGCCGTGTCTTTCGGTGAGTCTTCTTGGGGAGTTCGTCCTGACATCCATAGCACTGGTCTTGCGAATGTGTACACAGGCTCGCTACTAAGCCTTTAACATCTGGACTAAGAACCGCTGGAGGCCACTCCGGTCCGCCAAAGGCAACTGCAGGCAACAAAAGGCCGCTGGAAGGCCACAAAACGCCGCTGAAAGGCCACTGGAGGCCACTAGAGGCCAGTCATAATGCACTAAAGGCCGCTAAAGGCAGCCAAAGGCTTCTAGACCGAAGAGGTGTATATTAGGACGATGCTTCAAGAAGACTCGCCGCATTTCTCCAGACGAGCGCTCTTCAACGCGTAGAAGTGGCACGAGGGTTCCGAGCAAGCCCCAGCTTCGGATGGGGTGTACCCTTGCGCTCTTCATGTTCGGGCCGGCGGCCTTGGAATGCTGTTCGTCCTGGTTATCTCCGTGGGCCCTTGGGCTCTCGTCGAGTGGGCTCGTGCTCTGGACACGGCCTTGCGCCCACTGCTGGCTCGACGTCTTCATCTGCAACGCCCTTCGAGTGCTTTTTTTGTGGTCTGGAGAGACCGAAAAGCTGCATGAGCACAGCTGTTCGGAAGGCCGCGCGGTTTTTTTGGGGCGGCGCTGCGCCCTCGGGCGACGCTTCCAGCGCCGCCTCTGGCCCGCTCCGTGCGACAGGGGAGGGTGCCCAGCGACGTCCAAAGAAATCCGCGCAGACCTCCCACGAAGAGCTGCGTACGTGCAGTTTTGACGTCGTCTGACGTGGCAATCGCTCTGTCGCAGCGGTGGCTGGATGGGAGGTGGCAGCGGCGGGGGGCCATGGTCGCGATCGACATCATGGCGTTGCAGGCCCCGGCGCGGATCGCGCCTCCGGCTTCTGAGAAGCACGGTCGGCCCTTTCTGCTGGTGCCCCAGGCATCCGACGATGAGGTTGTTCCAAAGCGCGGTCCCAGGGGTCCCGACCCATCCCATGGGCCAGTGCTTCGAACAGCGATGGGCCCGAAGTCAGGGAAGAGAACCAGGATTGTCAGACAACAGGCCGCCGGCTTGGCATCGCTCGGACGTGTGCGCTTTTCTCTCGGCGAGGACCATCGAGGAGCATCCCTGATCATTTGGCGAAAAAAAACCACGCACGAAACCGACAAAAAACACAGGTAATGGACGTCCGAGCGATGGCCAGCCGGAGATCTGGGCATCGCGGCCGGGCCCGCCCTTCCAGAGCGCCATGGGCTTGCCAGAGTCCGCCGCCTGGGGCTCCGTGGCGCCGGGCGACCAGCTCGACCAGATCCAGGGCCGCGCCTGCCATCTCGGCTCTTGCAGCCAAAGCTGGTGGTAAGGACGATCGACTTCCCAGCTGTACCCCTGCAGCCCTGCCTCCTCGGTCATCTTCGGTCCATCCTCAACCACTTTCGGTGGCCATTCCCGCTCGAGGAGCCTCGGCAGGAGCGTCCAGGGCCCTTGCATCCCTGGATAGCACTGGATAGAACTGATAGAACTGGCCATAGAACTGGCCCATTAAAAATGGGGTCTGGCCTAGAACTGGTCGGTCCAATTAATGGAAATTTGAGAATATCAATCATTATTCTTCTAAATGCGACGCACTTCCTTCCTATCAGCTTTGCTTGTGCCGCTTGCCGTGGGCGTGCCACTGGTCTTGCCCAGCGATCGCGCCCTCTGCGCGCCAGCCACAAAAAGGTGAGCGGCGCCGTGCTCCCTTCCGTGGCCACGGCGCGCCAGATCTGCGTCGGGCCGTGCTGCGATACCACGCGTCTTGGCTCGTATTCGGCTGAGGGGGTTCGAACGGGCCTTCGGTTGAAATAATCCGAGTCCGGAGCAGTTCGAGGCCAGGTGTATTCGCAAAGGTCAAGTTTCACTGTGCTAGAATCCTGAATCCGGAAGCAGTTTGGATAAAACCTGGCGGCGAAGAACTTCCGAATATCTGGAGCGCGTGTGAACGTGTCGTGGACTCCCTGATGTGTGTTGAACTTATCATATGTTTTTATATTTTCTGAATTTTGAAGCTTTGTCCAGATCAGTTTCAAATGTTTCTTAACTTTCTCCGAACTCAGTTAAAACATCGGAGCTTCTTTCGAGCCCTCCCAGCACTTTGAAGTGAGAATTTTCGAACTCTTGCTTTCCTTGGTTCTAACATTCCATCCGCTCGAAGCCAAGCCACAACTCGATTGCGTTTCCAAGAAAGCCCGTCTCCTTTCCCATCAGCCATTCAAAAGCTTAGGCTCCCCAGATGGGGCCGAAGTAGATGGGGTCGGTGGATCGGCGGCATCGCCGATGCATCGCCGATGCATCGGCGATGCGACTCGATGTTGCAGCCCGATCTCTCCACGCCGACGTCGACGATGCACCGCCGACGTCGCCGATGCATCGCTGATACATCGGCGATGCATCGGCGATGTGTGGACGATGCGGCACGATCCTTCGACCCCATGTGCTCCGACCCCATCTGGGAGAGTGGCTATGTGCCCATGTTCGCTTCGTATTCAATGTATGTTGCTTGACCGCTTCTCGTACCCAGCTCGCCGCAGACCCAAGAAGCGTTTCGTCCTATGCAGTTTGCTTGCTTGCTTGCCGCCGTGACGCCTTCCCAGATCAAGGGGGTCAAAACCACCCTGACCCCTATTGCTGGCCTTTGCTAAACAGTCCTGGGCGCTTGCTGAGGAGCCATGCCATGTTGGATTCTTTATTTGTGTGCGTTTACTAAAAAGCTTCGCATGCCGGGGTGCTGATTGGTTCTTCTGCCTTCTACCAGATTCCCGACGATTTGATGTTTGTCAACTGTCGTTATTCATCGAGTTCGGCGTCTGGTGGGGCCCCCAACCGGGCGCCAGGACACTCAAAAACGGATCCAGGACGGAAACTTGCCCCTTGGTCAGCGTTCGAGCCTCCTTGGGTCCGCGGATTGAAAATGAACCCGACGCGGCGGAAATTGATCCTAAGCATGGGATTGGTTGCTTTGCTTGGCTTTGCGTTGCTTCGCTTGGGACTTGTTGTCAATGTTTGGCATTGTTTGGCATTGCATTGCGTTGCTTGTCGTTGCTTGGCGTTGTTTGGCATTTCTTGGTGTTTGCTAGTCTTTCCTCCGCATTGTTGGGCCTTGCTTCGTATTGCTTTGCAATATTTGGCATTGCTGAACTTTACTTGGCGTTGCTTGGCATGCCTTGGTATTGCTCGGCATTGCGTGTCGTCTCTTTGCGTTACATGCCATTGCTCGGCATTGCTTGACATTTCTTTGCATTCCTTTGCACTGCTGGGCATTGCTGGGCAATGCTTTGCATTGCTTCGCATTGCTGGGCACTGCTGGGCATTGCTGGGCATTGTTGGGCTCTGCTTCGCACTTCTTTACATTGCTCGGCATGGCTTGGGATTGCTGGAGATTGCTAGGCATTGCTTGGCGCTGCTTGACATTGCTTGCAATTGCTTGGCATTGCGCAGCAGTGTTTGGCATTGCTTGGCATTACTTGGCATTGTTCGGCATTGCGTGGCGAGGCAACAGGAAACCAATGAACCAAGACCTAGGAACCCAGGAACCAGGACCAAGGAACCAAGAAACTCAGACCAAGGAAGCAAGACCAAGGGACGAAGGAACTCAGACCAAGGAGTCAAGGAACCAAGTTCAAGGTGCCAAGACCAAGGAACGATGGAACCAAGACCAAGGATCCAAGAAAAGAACTACCACGGAACATTGGGAGGTAGTGAGAAACTCAGACAAATTTCGCCAAGGGACGAAGACAAAGGGACCTGGAGAACGCTGGTCGGCCAGGCTTGTCACCCGTCGATTCTGTGCACGGTCGAGTAAGAAAACCTTTTTAGCAAATCCGAAGTGGGGCGAGAACGAGTCGGTGGACGTCATGGGCAGTGCCACCTCCGAGCCCGAGCCCTGGCACCATGAAGCCGGAGCTTCCTTCGAAGGGCAAGGCGTGTGCGTGGCCAGGGTGCAGCTCCTGCAGGAGGTTCAGTTCAGCATCGGCGCTGGTATATGTGTGGTGCAGAGTTGGATCCAGCAGCGCCCCTTGCAATTCAGCCCAATTTCGCTCAATCCGGCTCAGTCTGGCTGAAACCTGAGCTTATTCTTGGCTAGTCCTTCGTCCTCACGAAGACCTCGCAAGAGCCCCTGGGATCCGACGACACGGGAATGGCAACATCGTGAAACATGACGCCCAGCTCCCAGGTCTTCCTTGGCCCCGATTGGGGTTCTCCTGAGCGAGAGAAACGTCCCGGAGGCCCACGCGAAACACAACCGAAGCGCCTGATAGCGCCTGGGAAATGGAGCGTCCAGGCCCTGGAGAACATTACGAACATTGTACTTCTCAGGACTGCATAAGCCTGGGGCGCTCCACTTCGCTCATCGAGGCACGGTTCGGCGACTAGAACGGGTGTGGCTACGCTGGGGTGTGGTTTGCGATCGGCGCCGTTGGGAGCTTGGGGGCACGACGCTGTCCTCGTTGGGCCTCCTTGTGGCGCCGCGGAGAGCACTGTCGAGGTCCCCGCCCGCGCCCCAGGGTGCCCCCCAGGGTGCCAGTTGCAAGCAAACGCCCTTTGCAGACCACACCCTTCGAGGTCGCCTAACGGTGGCGGATGCAGCCGAAGCCGATAGCACGGATGGGCAACCTTCCCGAGGGTACCCTTGCATCCGCGCCTCATCCAGCCTTGGCTGCTTTCGGTGGCCCGCAGCGCTCGAACAAGCTTCGACACGGGCGTCCAAGGCCCTTGCATCCTTATCGCGCATGCTTGCGATCAGTTTTCACAGTAGGGACAAGGCCGAGGCCGCCAAAGGCCAGTAGAAGACAGCTAACAGGCCACCAAGGGCCACTAGAGGCCGCCAATGTTATCCTGAAGGATTCTAACGGCCACCGAAGGCTACAGTCGGGGCCCTGAAGAAGGAACCTTTTTCGTTGGGGAGGGGCTCGGTGTTCCTTGATTGTTGTTCAATCTGCCTTAGGTTCCCCTAAGGGTTTCCATCGGAAATCGAAGTTTAACTTTTG